CCCCCCGCCGCACCTCTTTTCAGCGGATGGATCCAGCGTTTGCGCAGCTCCTCCGTGGGGGAGAAGACGTAGAGGGGCCCCTCGTCATACACCACCTGCGGGGCCAGCAGCTCAGGGTCCTGCCTGGGGGTCTCCCAGGGAGGGGGGCTGGTGGCCACCCCGAGCAGCGGGTGCAGAGCACAAGCTGTGCTGGCCCTGCATGGTGCTCACAGGACCGTGACAGAGAGGTTATAAATAAGCCCCCTCCCCCAAGACTTTCCACTTCCCCCTCTGACTTTCAGGGTGTCGGGGGCAGCACTGGGTGCCAGCAGGGACAGGCAGCTGGGCTGGGGGCTGAGCAGGCAGCTGTCAGACAGCATCCCTCCAGCATCAGCCAGGGGACTGAAAGGGGTAGGACAGAGCTCAGAAGCAGGTTTCCATCTAAGCAGTCCCCTTAAATAGAGATGCCCAACTTCCTGGGGCTTGCAGGGGCTCACCTGCCTGCCCCACACAGTGTGGACAGCAGCAGGGTGTCCCCAGATGGCTGAGTGACACCTGGCACCAGGACAGCGACGCTGTGTTTGGCCCCAGGTCCCTCTAGGGTCCTCCCCCAGCACCCTACAGCCAGGCAGAGCACACTGTCAAGGGGGGTGCAGTGAGGACTCACCTGGAAGGGGTAAGGGAACCGTTCAATGATTGAGATCTGTTCCATATTGTTGCAATCGTCTCCTTTCCTCTGTAAGAGAGACAGAGGTGGATGTTGGCATCCTGCTTCTTGGCTGCTGACATCTCCCCTGGGACCCACAGCCTTTGGCATCCCCCTGCTTCCCCTGCCCTTCATCAAGCCAGACTCCTGGTCTGGCAGGAGCTGTGGATGCAGAGCCCTCCATGCCAAGCAGGGCAACCCCCATTCCCACCACCCCAGGGCAGGGAAACTGTCCCTACTTCCCCAACAAGGGGACAGGGAGATACAAGCAGAAACTCTGGGACTTTCCTCACCAGGACCTGCCGCTCAGGAGGAGGGTTGTTTTCAGGCACCACTGTCTCCACACAGGTGATCTTCTCTATGTCCACTGAGCCCTTCTTACTGCCCCGGCGCTGTAAGAGATGGGCTTGGTTTGAGTGATTGCAAAGGTGGAGAGCTGGGGAAACTCCAGCCAGCCACCAGCCCCATCCAACCACCCTTTGGGCAGGCTGCTGGGGCTGCAGACTCACCCCCCGCTCAAAGTCATACTCATAGTAGGACAGCTTGCTCTCTGTCAGCA